CACTGGACTCAGCAGCAGCTGTTCGTGTGGGTTAAACGAACGTGGAGAGCTTCCAAAAGAGGACGCTGGAGTTTGTGCGTGCGTTCTTGGGGTTAGAGCCAGCGTTAAATACAAACTTCTAAGTCTCCATCCCAAACAACACACTAACGTGCACCGATTGCGAAGAGGTCACATGATGTGTGGAAAGACACTCGCTCCAGGCTTTGTCACTGCCACCTATTGTCTGCGGGTCTTGACTGAGCCACCTCACCACCCCGGCCTCAGTCTCCACATCCGTAACGTGGGTTAGGGTTAGGCTCTTCTCACAGAGAAGACAATCTGTGCACGGGCACTTTGTAAACTGTCACGCGCCTTCTGAGTGTGACGTATTTCATCGCCAGCAGTGCCATGATGGATTTGGGAAAGGCTCCTGAGCGCTGGCTAACTCTCAGCTGTCTGAGTGGCGCTCACTGAGTCTCAGGAGACCAAGTGTAGGGGCGTGAGGAACCGGCGTCTGGCACTTGCTTCTCACCCACGAGAGTCACACTCATGTGTGTGGAGGGTCTCACAGGCACCCAGGCGTCCCCAGGCAGCTGCAGCACTTGCACAACAAAGTGAGTTTTCTAGCGGAAAGGAGGGTGCCTGAGGGAGTAGTCTGTGAAGGGAAGATCGTGTGTTATCCGCCTTCTCCAACACAGAGGCCAGAACCTCACAACAACTCCTGTCATAAAGGAGGTAAATTTACACAGGGGTTAACGCGTCCTTTTGATAAGGAAATACGCTGTTTGTTAAAGAAACCAGACCGAAGGTGAGGGCAGCTGCCATTCACAAAGTTCTGTGGATTTCCTATTGTAAACCGTGAAGCAAAAGATTATAGAAATGAGGATTATTTCTAAGAACCTGGTGTGCAGTAAAAGTGGGCAAACTTCCTGCACCCTAGACAATAGAAGCTGCAGGATGAGTGAGGCTCTGTTAGATCCTGGTAGATAATCTGCCCGCCGCCTGCATTATGGTTGTAGCTGAGAAAATAAGCCCTAGCAAATTCTAGGAATAAGTAGCCTTTAGAGAAAAGTAATATCTTGGCATAAGTTCAGAATTTTAATTCTTCGATTTAAGCTTATTTTAAAATAAATGTAACCAGGTTAAAAAAAAGGTTTATGGTATATGTGGTTAAAATTCCTCTACATCTAAGGCAGATAGGTGCTTAGAGACTACCGGATAAACAAGAGAATATTCTAAAGGTCAGAGAACCCAAAAGTAGGACCCCACCCCAGCCCCATGAGGATTAAATCAAACTTCGAACATCAAGAATTAAAGACAAACTTGGGCTCTACGCCTCGTTTTCCTGCAAGGAGTTACACTGACGACAGGAATGGGGTATTATAAGATAACGATATGAATAATAAGGAGGTATCTAAATTTGGCCAACCAAAGTATAAATGGAAGCCAATCTGGGGGCCTGTTTGTAGAGTTAATTGCCTCTGATTGAAATCAGTTTGATTTGGCTTAAATTGGTTACTGAGATGGCTGAAACACCTACATCATGCCTGTGTCTGCAACTGATCGCACATCTGGAAGCAGGAAAAAGAACTCCTGGCCGGGAGGATGTGGTTTCTCAAACAAACAAGAAAAGAAAGAAAAAGGGCTGATGATGATGTGATGCGATCTGCAAGTGCTTTCAAGTTGCTGCTTTCAGGTAATCGTTTTAAGAAGAAGAGACCTCCCTTCAGAATCACAGCTCACGGTAGGCAGAGTTCTCACCAAAAAATCACTTTACTTTGAACATTTTTACTCTTTTTTTACTTCTGGCCTGAGTCTCAGTGAATGCCACAGTCGGGGGTCCTCACAGCACAGTGAGGCAGCTTCCTGCAACATTTACGCAACACACTGAGCGCTAGCTCATAAGGGTCTGCAGGTCCTGGGGCTTTCTGAACTGCCATTACCCATGTCTGCCTCCTGGAAGCTTCCTTTTTACCGGTGCTGTTTCCCACCCCACTTCTGAGCCCCTGAACTGTGTTTTCTACATTAGATGGACTAGAGACGAGAGAAAGCAACAGTTGCAGAGTTTGAATGATGTTCATGTACACATTAAATTTTAATACATTTTCAGTTTACATATTGTACATAATTAGACATAAAATTGTCGACTTCTTTTTAAGAATGTCCCACATGTGTTGCTCTGGATAAGAACCGGGCAAACTGTCATCTCGGGAAGTTTAAGAGGTTTGAGGATCCAAGACCCAGAGTCTATCTGGCAAAACTCGTTGTCTGTCCACGATCAAGAATGTCCTGTTGGGGCTGACCTGGTGGCGCAAGCAGTTAAGTGTGCGCGCTTCGCTGCGGCGGCCGGGGGTTTGCCGGTTTGGATCCCGAGTGCGCACCGACACACCGCTTGGCAAGCCATGCTGTGGCAGCATCCCACATAAAGTGGAGGGAGATGGGCACGGATGTTAGCCCAGGGCCAGTCTTCCCCAGTAAAAAAAGAGGAGGATTGGCAGATGTTAGCGCAGGGCTGATCTTCCTCACACACACAAAAAGAATGTCCTGTTAATGGCCAACTGTCAATACTCAGTGTTAGAAGTGACAAGAGGGACATTTCCAGAAAATTCCACTTCTTAGCTGATGCATAATAGAGAACATTTTTTGAAGTATTTAGGACCCACTTTCTAACACGTCTTTATGGACAAGTAGAGATTGCTGCATCATACAATGAATAATGTGATTTCACCTTTAATCAGGTAAAAGGCTGCTGCAACAGGAATTGACCAAAGCTTTTAAAAATATGTGTAAAGAAAAACCTATTGGAAAGAGCACATGCATGAATTATTCTAGAGAAAGCTGTTGTAAACATTAAATGGATTAATCCATGCTCCCATGCAGGGGAAAGCCACCTAAGAGATCTTTGTGACTCAGATAAAAAAGAAATGGATAGAGGGGTACCATCAATTAAAAGGTTAAAGGAAAAAATATTATAATCTATGGTTTCCTCAGTTTAGAAAGACATATCATCAACTGAAAATTGGTCTTTTAAATATTAGACTTTTTATAGTAGACATTTAATTGAAACTCCTAGTTTTGAAGATCCATTAATAAAAATGGACCATTTCAGAAAATTGGTCAAGTTTAGATTTCCCAGAAAGGGTCAATCAAAATGGGATTTACGTGTTGCAAAGACAAGTTTAGGAATTAGTGTGGCTTTTAGATCAGGCAAAATTCGGAAAAGGCCATTGCCCTCTGGAGGATAAGGTCTCCCCTCCAGGAAGAGGCGGGATGGAGGGAACAGACCACCCCGGCACTGTCCTGGAGGAAGGGAAGGGCAAACTGCCTCTCCCTGAAGATGCTGATGGTGAGGACCAGCACACCATCTTCCAAGATGAAATAAGAGAAGAAGAAAGTGCTGAAACTGGAGAAGTGGCAGGTCTACTTGGAACTTCAGATCAACATAAACTTCTAAGCCCAGAGTCAAGGGATGCAAACCAATGAAAACTAGACCTCTCAGAAAAGTACTCTGGTCTCTGGGGCTCTTGACACACTAACCAGTTAGAAGCAATATTAGATAAAAGATGTGCAAAGGCTGTTTTCTTGTTTACAGCTGGCCTGGTGGAACTGGAGATATGCCAAACTTTGCAAAGTATTCCTCATCAAGAAATTCAAAGGAAAGTTGCCATGTTCTGCTGTGTTGGCCAAGTTCCAAGTGCAGTTAATCACGCTTTGACCAGGAGGGAAATATGGTTTCAAGCCATGAAGAAAGATGCCTTAACAAAGTGGGTTGAGTTGTTCTTGCTAATTCTGTCCGGTTTAAGGTTCTAAAAGCTATTTGTCCATGAGGCACTGAGTGGATGATGCTACAGACTTTAAAGCTGTTAAATGAGAGGATGCCCTCCAGGTGTTTACACGCCATGAAGAAAACTCCAAGGGTCTTGTGATGAAAGGGCTAGTTCAGGAGGTCACTGAACATAAGCAGGTGATCTATCGCACTAGGGCCTTGGACAGGGATCCTGTAAAAAACGACATGGTGTGAAACAGAACCCTGCACTCTGTGATAGCCCTGGTCTATGGCAATGGGATTGGGGTGTGGGGGCAGGGTCTTTGGAAAGGAATCAAATGGGTCTGGAAACAGCATTTTCTCTACATGGGCAATGAAGTTGTTTCCAAACAAAATTGGAAGCCATGCAATTTGACATGATGATATTTATAACACGCCAGGTAATTCAATTAAAAACAACTCTTTTGGTCTCTTGGTTCTCATTATGCTGTGGAACTCTCTTTCAAGTCCTGCCCTTCTTTCCTCAGATACAACTGAATGTCTACTCTGACTAGTACCACCAACTTCTTCTAAAACTTCTCTAAAAATTGAACATGTTCATTAGATATATATACACATACAAAGAAGAAAAACCTTAGACTGGTGGCATAATATAGGTGACCAGATTTATGTTTAAAATATAGAAAAAATGACAGGCATAGAGGAGAGGGAGATGTGGTGCCCGAGCACTGGTGAATGCCTGACTATGCACACCAGTGAACTGTGTTGTCTCTGTCCTAAAGAGCATTGATAACTATGACCACAGTGTACTTAAGGAATTAGCTATTATGGTGGTGGGTTTTTGTCATTAGTGTTATTTAAATATCCATATTTTAGGTAATCATATTAACTACTGGCTTTTAAAAAATCAATTTTTGACTTTTTAAGTTATAATCATTTCCTAAAAGTTTGAGTAACTCTTAAAACTTCCCTTCTATGTGCATGCATATCTGGAGAGAAAGTACGTATGCTTTAGAAAATTCAAGACAGAAGGATATGATACGAAAGAGCCAGAGATAAATGAGAGGGAAAAGGCAGAACGGATTGTCCGGAAAAGTGACGAGAGTCCTGCGGACCCAATCATGCGTGCTAAATTGAGGCGCTGACGTGCACAAGCGGTTCCTTAAAGACACTTTTTCTTCTCAAATGACACATCCTTTTAGTTACCCCCAAGTGAATAGATTTTTAAAAGAGAATGATTTTCATTAAATCTTACTTGAGTTCTTGTGAGCTGGTGGCCAGCATACTCCGAATGCTTTTGTCAGCCAGTGGGCAGCCCGACAGACTGTAAGACAGGCCCGAAGAGTCAGGTGAGTAGTCCCTCTAACCAGCGCAGCCTCCCGGACAGACACAACATACAATTGAAATTAAAAAGTTTAATGCAGAAAAGCGATGGGGCAAGTGCTGTATGTTGAATTTTTTTGTATAATTAACTCAGTATATGTTTATATATAAATTTAAGAAAAGAGGTCTGTTAATAAACAATTTTTAAAACATAAGATGAGAATATTTGCGCTTTTTGGTTTAAATATTTGTAAAGAATTTTCCAAATTCAGGTAGGTTATTTCAAAATAAAAGACATTATACAACACATAAATTAGCATGCTTTTAAAGGTCAACATATAGCACTTAAAGGGTAGACACATAATTCAACGTTTTTACTTTGACAGCATTGTTGAGGTAAGCTGAAAACAATAAATTGAAAAGACAGAATCCACCATGAGAAAAATGAAGTCACACCTTCTATGTGAGGCGTAATTACCAGTCACATGACCACTCCCATCACACCTTGGTGTTGGACATCTGCCACCAAACAAAAACAAAAACAGCCAAAATAGTAAGTATGTTTAAAAAAAAGACTTTTAAAAAAGTTTCATTGTTTCCAGTTTAGCTGCAATGTCTGCAAGGGGACTTAAGCACCCTAAAGAAAAGCTGCAAAATGCACAGGATTAAATGAAAATGACGCCTCCAGAGCACAGAGCATCGTTAAGAACAAGCGAGTCCATGGCTGGCTTCCCACTCTACTGAACTGGCAGTTTGAGACATTTATATGCTGCGAATGTCGCATGCTCAAACGGCAAGGCATATGCAGATCCGGTTTTTAAGAATAAGGCAGAGAAAGGCAAAGTTAAGAAGAGTAACAGTTTCACCTCCCATTATGCTTACGTTATTAAGTCCTTTTTGCTCTCCTTGCACTGGGGGTACTTGGGTTTGGGGCTCGGGATGGTCACCTCCCCTGGATACCTTCTTTCTTCCAGAGCTTCTTGGAAGGGATCCAGGTCTTCTGGCTGCAGGCAAAACACAGCTTCAGGGCCACACAGAGGATGATACAATACACAGACATGTCCCCCGGCGGGGAAGTGGCCGCCTCTACGCTTGCCACCTCGCCTCTCCCAAGTACACCCTTAAAATCATGATATATCTTGGTCCTTATGGCCCCTTCTGAAAATGCAAACTGAACTTTGTTCAAAGATTCTCTCTCTTCTATGGGGGATCTTAATTTCTCATCAACTGCTCTAAACTTCAAACTTGTAGTAACCTGTCAGTGGGCAGGGCTGTATTCAATATTCCATTGGCTGTACTCACAGATAAAGGTCTGGCAACCAAAGACTACTTCTAAGTTGGTCTTTCTCGTTCAATAAACACCTGTGGGTGTACTGCTGCCAATACGACACTTTTATCCAACACTGATCTGCAAAGCTTGAAGCCTATACCTAAAGATACTTTAGAGTGAGGTTTTTACCAATCATTGGTAAGAATTCTACATATGTACTTTAAGTCCTAAGGCAAGGGAAGACCAGCTTAGATTAATGTTGTAATTTTAAATTATTCCTTTGTAGCATTTTCTTTTTTAATAGCAAGTATTTCCTTTTTCAAGGGGGTCCAATTGCAGTAACCTAGAAATTCCTGCAGATGGCAATGTTCAGCAAATGTGTTTCACCAGTACATGAGACAGTGGTTTTTACTTCTGTCACAGTCTATATGATGAAAATACTTCTAGCGATTTATGAGGGCTTAATTTTAATTAAAATAAATTTGGAGATTCAACTGCCATGCCTTATTTGGCAATAACTATTTAACACTGTAGGAGAGAAAAAACGCTTTGGAATTTAGCTTGCCACTCAGATTCTATTCTCTTTCACAATGCCTGGATCCTTAAATCAGCTTGAAGAATAGAGATGATAGGCTTTAAGAGGCAATGGCCTTATAAACAGACACCTTCCCCATCAGTGCCTACGAACAGCTAATGTTTCCTTTTTCTCCTTGTTTCCCTGAGATGCTATTGCTTTGATGGTGGTCTCCCCATTCTATTCAAAAAGAATTTTCTTTTTTCAGTGAATAAAGAAGATGTCATAATTTTCAGAATTGAACACTGGAGAAAAAGTCAGTCTAACAAAGAACAAATTATTCTTCTTTTCTTAGCCTAAAGGATATTATAATTATTTTAATAACCTGAATTTGAAAATTGTAACTACTTTAAAAATACGTTCCTGATGTGGGTGTTTTGGTAACTTTGTAGTCAACATAGAGTTAGGTGACTATACTCAGATGGTTTATTCCAGGCTCGAGGATACTTGTCTGAACATTTCAAGTTTCTAAGCAGGTGCTGTCCTGAGCTTCAAGGTGCTAGCTAATTAACAGTTCTCATTATAATGCTCTACCTGCAAGGAAAATCCTGCATTGTATCACTATGTCACCCAGAAAAACAAACTGGTGTGTTGTTTACACATTTTCTCAGAGAAAGCATTGTAACAAAACACACTTGTTAGAAACCAAAACTCATCATTTAAAAGAGTCAATGGCTTGTTTCGCCAAATCCATGTTAGTCACAAATCTCTCCTGGGTCAACAAAAAATGTATTCTAAGCCTTAGTCATCTAAAGGTCATATTTAAAGAGAAAACATCTTTTCTCTTAAGGTGTGTGCCAATGGAATTCTCTCTCAGCTGAGGCCCAACTTTAAACTCTTGAGTCGACAGAGGCAGATCAATGAAAAGGACATACAGTAATCTCTTTGGGGTCATCCTCCTCTATCCTCCGGGGCTTCATTTTGGTGTAGTCTACGGGCAAGTCCCAGCAGTCCCCCTCGCTCAGCTGGAAACACCGACTGTTCATCACTGCCTGCTGCTGGGGGGACATGGGCTCCAGGGGGGTCAGAATGGGGCAGCAGCCCTCTCTCGGCCTCTGCTTGTTCATGCTGAGGTCCAGAGTCCCGTTCTCATCCACTTCCATGTCAGGGTTCTGTGGGACAGAAACACAGGGTGACGCTGCGATTCCTTCCCCCAGATGGCAGCTCTGCCTTCAGGCAGTACAGAATTCAAACACGAAATTCTTGCTGCAATCTCATTTACATAAGCTCCCAAGGTGAGCAGAAGTGGTCTCTCCATCCATTTCTGCTATCCCATGCTTAGCTGTGAAATTGGTTGGCAGATGCACGCGTGCCTCCATCTCTCTATCTACTAATCTTGTATCATCTGTCGATCATCTATCATCTCTTTTCTATTTACTTATCTATCACTTCTCTATCATCTATCCATCCTTTGTCTATCATTATCTTTATCTTCTTTTTTTCCCCAATACATCTATGCTTTTAGAAATAAGCTTGGCCAGAAGAAAATCAAAGAAGTGCCGAATTTGAATTCTATTTCAGTTCAAATACTTCTTAAGAGATCAGAAATACACGTGTGTGTATGTGTACAGAATATATATATATATACTTAAAAATGTATACATACTTAAAAATTTTCATTCAGTTTCATTGATGCTAACACTTCAAGGCTTGGAGAGGAGGAAAATAAAAGAATTAGAGGGATGGAGGGAGGAGAGAGAAGGAACTAGAATTTATTTTCTAATACAAAATCTTATGAGGAAGAGAATTTCCATTTCAAGAGTGGGAGACGTGCCGTCACAGTTCAGAATGCCTCCATGCAGGCTCATGGTCTCACCACTCCACGTTTAGCAAACCTGCAATTTAGTCAACTGGCTTAGAAAAAACAAAGACGTACAGGGCAAGCTTTTGTTTTAAATGATGCTTTGAAACAGATCAAGAATTCTTTGGAGATTGCCTCTCAGGAGGAGGGACAGAAGGAGGGACATGTGGAGGACAGAAGAAGAAAAATCAAAACACCCCCAACAAGCCTCCATTTTTTCCCAGAGAGTTATACTCTCTTGAGCAAAAATCTGGTTTCTGAGCTGGCGTGAAAGCTGCTGCCTACTCAGATGTCTCCTAGCTCCTGCCTCTGGATGTAACAGCAGAGGGAGGATGCCTGGAATGAAAATCCCATCCTTCGGCTGTTACCTTGATAAATCACAGAGTATTATTCTGCCTGAACTCCTTTTGTCAAAGTGCACTCCTGATTGCAGGCTTTCATACTAATTTAGCCTTAATCATGTTGGATTTAATTCTCTCAGTGTTAGTTTAATTTTAATAATGTGAAAAACATTGGAAGAGGTTACTGTCTTTTTTTTCTTGCCACAGAATCTCTTCCCTGCTAGCCTTGCATTTAGCAGCCCTGCTCACCATGGAAATTGCATGCCCCTGACGCTTCTCCAAAATCTAGGAATAAAAATATTAATAGAAAAGAAAGCATTTGCAAAACATAAAATTACTGACCTTTCTCCATTCATACAAATTACAATTATTTATAACAACTACTGTCAGGGTGGTGAGCTCATGGTGCATGGCCGAGCAGCTTTAGGTAATGGAGACGGACCCTTTGTTTTCTGGAGAGGAGGTGACCGACCACGTCTGCCTGCTCACATGTCCTCTGAGAGCACAATACGCCACACGGGCACCGCCTGCGTCTCCCGGCCACCTAGTGGCTTCGAGAGGCAGCTCTCTCTCTGAGTTCCCCGCTGCAGCCTAAAGGGCTCGCTTTCCTGCTCTCAGCACAAGCAATGAGGCCATTGACAAGAAAATCATAACGATAAAACCGCCATAAATATTGCATACGTTTTAGCATCTATGATGTTTCTGAGCTAATGAAAGCTGGCTGAAACTGCATGACTGAGCAGACCATGTGCAAATTGGATTTTTACTTTCTTTGTTCCCTAGTATTCTGGGTGACCTACTGGGAGCACTTGTGGAGGGACAGTCCTGCATTTTACCTGACAACAGCACTACCCAACCCTCCTCGTGTTTACAGTCCAAGGCACATCGCTTCTTTAGTTGTCTATACTCTGTGCAGCCATTTGAACCTACATGAGGGTCGTGTGGTGTTGTTTGTTTACAGAAATGATTCTGGATCCTAAAGAGGAGGGTCCATTTATACACATAAATCTGAAAGACCTGAAGATGTCTCCTGATTTAGAACACGAGTCCTCCTCGGACCACTGCCAATAAGGCTGCTCTAAGAAAAGCTGCCTTAATCCTTCAACTAGAAAGACGCCTTGTGAGATGAAGGCTTTGCAGAGGGCCTGTGCACAGTGAAGCAGCCTCAGGCACAGGCTGCTGCTCTGAGCCGTGTCTTTAAGCGGCCTGCGTGACCTCAGGAGGGATGCACCTGAGCCCTGCTGCCCCCGGCCCCGCCAGGTGGGGCCACCTGCCAGGTGGGCGTACCCGCGCAGCACAGAGGTCCTGCGGCTTGGTGGACAGGTTCTGCGGCATCTCTCGGCAGCGCGTGGACAGGTTGAGGATGGCTGTGGCCGCCATGTGGGCTGCCTCCATGTCGTGCGTGTAGTCGAAGCTGCTCTTGCTGCACGTGCTGCTGGCGCTGCTGCCGCCGCCGCAGCTAAGGTTGCTGCTGCTGCTGGGCGCGTAGCTGCTGGTGCTGCTGGGGCTGGGGCTGGCATTCTTGCAGTACCGCTTCGCTGGGGAGACAGGGGGACGGGGATGACTCGGGTCCCCGCCGCCCAGCGCAACAGCAGGCAGAAGGGCAGAGCCCGGCACCCTGCCCCCCGCCCCGCTCCCACCAGCCCTTGTCCGTAACACAGCATCAAGAGGGCATGGGGCCAACGGGCTCATTCATAAGAGAAAGAAAAAAACCATCTGGCTTTTTTCCCCTTTATCTTTGTTTTTTTGTGTGTGAGGAAGACCAGCCCTGAGCTTACATCTGATGCCAATCCTCTTTTTGCTGAGGAAGACTGGCCCTGGGCTAACATCTGTGCCCATCTTCCTCTCCTTTATGTGGGACACCGCCACAGCATGGCTTCACAGGTGGTGCGTTGGTGCACTCCCGGGATCCGGGCCTGCGAACCCCGGCTGCCAAAGTGGAGCGCATGCACTTAACGGCTTGCGCCACCAGGCTGGCTGCACTTTTTTCCCATTTAACATTGCACGTATTTGAATAAGCAGTGTTGGGGATGAGCAGGAAGAGAAAATGCCTACGTCTCTGGCACATGCTGCACATGGGACACATTACGTCATCTGTTTAAAGGCACACACCTGGTTAGGACTCGGCCACCAGGATGTCGGGAAGTGAACAGGCACCAGCCTGGCCAAGGCCCGAGGAGACAGGCTCCCTGTCATGACTGCTGATCAGCTCCCTGGGTGATGGGGAGCCCACAGACCACCCACCCCTCAGGAGACTGGCTGCTCCTTCCAGCCAGGAGGGGCCTCAGTGGCCACTGGGGCCTCACTGTTGGGTGTGCAGACCAGACAACGTGACTGAAACACTCTTTTCCTCAAGAAAAGTCTCATCCTCAAGTGATTCTAATAAAGAACCACGTAGTGAAGGGTGCCGGCTGAGGGGAGAGAACAGCACAGCCCTGTGGACGTGGTCAAGCCCAAGATAAGCACAAACGTGGCAGAGCGCTGCTCAGCGACGTGCCGACAGCCGCGTGCGTGCTGCACACCGTCCCACCCGTCTTAGAGGAATAGCCTCGATGTCCCCTGCATGCAGCTTCACTCACGGGATTCCTTTCTGAACAACCAGTATCACTAACAGCCAAACAGGCACTTAGGAGCAAGTGTTGTCTTCTGGGGCTATTTAAAAATCTCCTTTAGCACATGGATGAGAAGATGTTTGAAAGATAGTTTATTAGGATGGGCCCAATTATCACTGTCAGGGTCATTAAATTCACAAGATGTCCATTCGCTCAGGGGTCAGATTTCTCACTACGATCCTGTGGAGTGAGGAATTACTCAAAGGTCAACCTAGAGGGTGCCAGAAGATCCCTCCACAAAACGTTTCCCTCCGCAGTGTCCTAAAGCCCTCCATCAGCGAGCCACCCCTTTTAGGAAGCACACACATCTCTCCAACCTCCTTTCCAAGGAAAGGTCAGCTGGCTTCCCTGCGTGAGCATGAGGCACAGTGGGAGGATCTGATGTTGGGTGGGGTGCCTGGATGGGGTTCCAGCTGTGCTTAAGGCCACCTGGTCCTCATGAACGAAACTCATCTAGATAATTCTAGTGGGAACCATAGTTTTCCCTTGCTGAACGTGGGAAGGGAGGGATCCTGCAGGCTGCCGCTGCTCTCTCAGTGGTCTCCAACATTGTCATCAGCCGTCTGTGACCTGAGCATCCCCCTCTTAGGAGGACTTATGATGCCTTCCTCCCAATGGGAAGAAGCAAACCACATTGAACTAAATACCAAACCTCATGGCCAATACGGTTGGTCATCATGAGCAACACCAAGAAATCAGCCCAAAGCACCTTATTCAGACACAAATGAAAAAAAGAACCAAGCTTTCATGGTCAGTAACTTTCAACTCTGGACTGAAGACTGCACTTTGCTGACATTGAGGACGAGGTTCATTGTTGCCACCGGGCTGAGCGGCGACGCTCTGAGAGCACAGGCAGCCTTGGGGGAGCGGTCGATGGCCCAGCCTCGTCACAGTCCCTGCCAAAAGCTACAAAGCCAGCGCACAAGCTGGTAACCGTTTGGAGCCAGGTTCCCTTGCACGGACCAGAGGGTCAATTCCACACACTCAAGCCGCTGAGCCAGAGGAGTGACCTGCAGGTAAGTTACTTCTATTCTGCTAATCTGAGTGAGCTCGACCATGAGGAGCAGTCACCACACCTCATGTTGGTGCGTCTGGTGACGTGCCCCTCCCTCCCGTCTCCTCGGTGAATGTGCCTCATCCAAGCAGCAGACAGCATGGCGTGGACGGCAGTGGTCTCAGATCTGAGCACGGAGCCAGGGGGCTAAGGGAGCAGTCCAGAGGGGCCCGACAGAGACCCTCCCTTGAGAGGCAGCCCTAGGACCTGCCCAGCGGGTGCGTAAGCCATGCCGAGGCAGGAACACAAGCCACGGCTCGTGACACTCCCCATAAGGACCAAAGTGTGTGGTTTTACATCGTGTACAATTTTGTCATAAAAATAGGAATATAAAAATTGTGGGGAAATGAAATAATACTTATGAGGTTTATTTTTTTCCCCTAGTAAGGGCTAGCTACTGGTTCAGGAAAAAAAACTGTGGTCCACATAAATAAGAAAAATGACAGTTTGGTTTTGAAATGAGTAAATTTCAATTTCTAACAGAAAGTAAGCAGAATGACATGTGTCTGTGCAACAAATTGCAGCAAACTTGGTAAAGTACATAGACTTTGCCAAATGTTTAAATCCTAAGATTTCTCCTGCATTCTGCCTTGTCGCCAGGACCCATAAAAAATATCAGCAGGTGACTGCACTGTGGACGATTTGCTGGTGGGCCTGTCAGCTCACATGATCCAGGAGAAGCAACTAGGACAATATTCATTTCAGATGCATCCTTTTACTAAATGCGATTAATCATTTTTTATTTTATTCAAAATGAAGAGTCTCTATACTTCAGATTCTCCAGGTAATGAAGGTCTTTGATCCTCATAATCACTGCCTGTTTGTAAAATGCTTGCAAAACCATCAGTGTCAGCAGTCTGTGACCACTCTCAGGGTTTCTCAGGCTTATTGCGCTGACACCAGGGATGCCGCAGAGCAGCAGGGCATTGGGAAGGCGGATGCCCCTCACTCAGGTGTCCCCTCTCCTCCCCAGTACTAACGGAGCCCCCACTTTGTCAGGTGGGAGCACTTTAACCACAACAAATGCACATTCTTTTTCTTTTGGCAAAAAAAGCTATTTTCAATCACATCATTTTCCAGTCAATCAGCAGACAAGAATTTGTGCATTCTATCTGGTACTAGTGTACCATCGGAAGTTATGAGACACAACTGCTGTGACTCTGGAGCCCACCATGCATTTGACAACATCAGCCCACCAGACCTTACACCATGTTGAGAAATGCCTCTTCAAGTATTCCACCTCCTCTTGCAGGAAAAAGAAAAACCCTATGGGATTTGTAGTGTTTAAATATGACCAATAAAACGAAAACAAAACAAAACTCCTCTGACCAGGACCTTTTATTAACCTTCTCTGCCTGTGAGAGTCTCACTAAACGTGTGTGTCTCCTTCCCATAGAAATGTCTACTTTCTTGCATATTCATATTTTCCTATCAGGAATAGATGAATGTGTCCTTGCAATCCAAACGTCCTTGAAAACCGGACAAAAAGGAATACAGTCCAAAGATAAGCCTCATGAGGATTTATCCCACTGGGTGGAACCGGGCACCCTAATTTAGGCCTATCTGACTTGATTCAGACCTCCGAACACCGTAATTCATAGCATTGCCTCTCATAGTCTTTACGTAGGCTCATGTTTGTACTTTATCATACACAAAGTGAAATATGGACTCGGAATCCTAAATGGAAAAAAAGAGCTTTCTTGTAAGAATATCCTGTTAAATACCACCTGCAATGCCAGTAGCTTACTCACATGATTTAACACATCAAATCCAAGTAAAGATCCTGGTTTTCCCCTCTCACTCACTCACCCACTAACTCAGTACTTTTTGCGTGGCTGCTGTCTGCCTGGCTGGCACTGACGCTGTGGGGTCTGGATCTGAAGATAGGGCCTCTTACCCACCAGAAGCTTACAGTTCAGGGGAATAGCGGACATGTGAAATTACCAAGGATGAGACTCACTGCTGCATGTGGGGCAGGACAGAGGCATCATGATCTACACAAGCAATATTGTGAAGTCAGTTACGAGGAGGGCCGCTGAATGCAGGCTGGGGATTTTTCAGAGATGCTTCTAGAAGCAGGTGTCGAATGCGGGAGAGCACATGGTCAGGTGGAGAGGAGGAGGGCGGGTCTCGTGGGGAGAGACTGGCATGAGGGCAGGGATATGGATGGCTGGGAGGCCCTGCTCCAGGGGATTAATCCTGGAAGGTGGCAGGAGGGCCAGCCCGGGACAGGCTGCAGGAGGCAGTTCTGTGGGACCCACCTGGCGAGGGGGCCTGGACAAGGGTGGGGGCAGAAGATGGGGAGGTTGGGCTCATCTGAGTGGCACTGTGTTTGAGGAGTGAAAAGGAGGGAGTTCAAAGGCCCTCAGATTTAAGCTCCGGAGAATACGGGGTTGGGAGTAACAAAAGGGAGCTCCTGAGAGGGAGCCCATTTGGAGGCTGGGAACCCACCGGTTTTAAACAAACCTGGGGGGGTGACAAGTTGCTCAGAGACAGGGCGGGGATGTCTTAGACCAGAGGTCAGCAATTTCCTCTGTAAAGGACCTGCCAGTAGCTTAGCAACTGCGGGCCATGTGGTCTCTGCCACACTGCTCAGCTCTGCTGTTGTTAATTGAAAGCAGCCATGGACCATGCGACTGAGGGTGGCTGTGTGCCAATAAAACTTTACCTATGGACACTGAAATTTTAATTTCACATAACATTTTTTCTTCTTTTGTTTTTTCAAACTATTTAAAAATGTAAGGGCCATTCTCATCTCACCATAAAAAATAAGTGGTTGGGGGGATGAGGGAGGAGATGCAGACCTGGCACACCTGAGAGAGGGCAGGGCCAAGACACACGTTTGGTAATCCTCTGTTCTTTCCCACCTTCCCATCCTTCATCATTTCCTGCACGTGACAGGAGAGTGTCCAAACTCCTCTGCGTGGCAGATGACGCAGAGCCATTTCCTCACCATCTCCATAGCTATCCCCTGTCCCTCCTCTCATGTGTCTCAAGTCCAGCCACACCAGCCCACTGGCAGTTCCCACTAACCCATGGGTTTCCTGCCACCATGTAATTTCTACTCAAGCTTCATGATCAAATTTAAAATTGGCCACTTTGGTAAATCTTATGCTATTTCCTCCAGGCAGAATGGATTCCTTGCTTCACCATGCAGAGTATGTGTTTCACTATCTTCTATTTATTTGCAATCTCTTCCTTGAAACTTGTTATCAAGAGGGAAAGTGTAGATAGATAGATAATAGATAGATGTATGGATGGATGGATGGATGAATGGATAGCATGGATACATAGATGGATGGATGGATAAATAGATAGATAGACAGATAGATAAATAGATAATAGATAGATGATAGATAGATGAATGGATAGGTAGATGGGTGGATGGATGGATAGGTGGATGGATGGATAGACAGCATGGATACATCGATAGACAGACAGACAGACAGATAAATAGCAACCAGTGAGTGCCTGGAAGGATGCAGGTGGTTAAATCAATGTTTGATCTCAATCGTGATCGACTTGATAACAGTCGGTGGGATGTAGGGATGATATCCAGAGCCTGGGGAGAAGGATTCCACTTCTCTATCCTGTTCAGCGTCTCCAGGGTGCTGCTCCTTGCTCCCAAGCATTATGCTTCTTCCCCACAACAGACTCATTTCACTGTCTTTTTTTAGGAGCAATGACTGATTCTTTGTGCACCTGAAGCAGAATGCAGTCACTCCATGGTGTCTACCACCTGATACTCAGGCACAGAAATGGCTCCTCTCAGCTCACACCCCATCGAGAAACCTGACCCAGCCAATCTCATCCTTAGTGGGCACTTTCCATGATGTTTTAAAAATCTGTCAGATGAGTCCGGTGGAAGAGAAATGGAGTCAACGATTTTCTTTTCAGTATACTGTGGTAAAAGGCTGCTTTTCCTTTTTTCTTAGTTTCTTGAAGACCTACCATTGAAGTTTTTGTTACGTATTCTTGTTTTCTTGTGGGTCAGCTGAAGAGCATGGCTCTGCCTAAGGTTCTCACAACTGGTATTTTTTTCTGGGTGGGTGAGAGTGAATGCCAATTATTACCATATGTTTGTTCACCTCTTTAGAGTTGTCAACTGACCTTCACAACAGCCCTCTGAGGCAGCAGGATACACACTACTACTACCACTCTGCTCTTGAGGAAACTAACGCACAGCAAGATTAATTTGTCCAATATTATACAGTTCCTAAACAGAAGAGCTGAGAAGAGACCCAACTTGGTTTGACTTCTAATCTGCTAAATGGCAACTGTAACCATGAAGACGTGCTCTACTGGTCACGACTTTACCCAGAGGCTGACCACAACAACGAGGCTGAGGAAATCGGACCACACGGAACAACAGCAATGAAGAGGTGTGTGAAAATGAACATCAGTGCAAGTCCTCGTCAGATCACTGTGACATGTCCATGAATTGGACATCATATAAGCAGAATCCTTAATTACACAAATTCCATTTCTTTTGCTCCCTCATTTGCAATCAGATAAATGAAATTATAACAAAATCTGAAATTGGCAAATTATTATTACAAAATAAATGAAATGAAAATAATTATTTTCTGTTATATCCTAAGCCACTTCCTTTTTTCCATTTACATCTTTTTTCCTATACATTAAGAATTGATTCACGCAAGGATAATCTATACGTGATACACCAAAGAAATATTAAATTTCACTCACTACATAAATTAATTGTTATTAAGGCAAAGAATGACTAACATAACTTAGAAAGATGTGTAGCAACTCATATTGAGTTGTAAAAAGGTTTCAGAACTCCCCAAGCATTCAATTCAAATGGATTTTTTTGTGTGCTGTGATTTTAACTAAATACCTTTTTCAGAGAGGAGCTTGAAGATTTTTAAAAACCTATCTCCTTGCCTGTGCTAGAGAACACCAAGATAAGACTTTTAAGTCATCAAAACTTATACAACTCACATCCCAACTGGTAAAATTTGCCAACTAAGTCATATCTCCTAGAATTTAAAGTGAACACGTGGTTAGATAAATAAGTAAAATCAAAGACATGTAGTCTTCCCCTCGATTGTTCAACTACTTACCAAGTCAGCTCTGTGATGAAATGGGGACTAGTTTACACCCCTGGCAGTGGGTTCAAATTCACATGAGGGAAAATAAACTCATTTTCCTGTGGAGCACGGAGTGTTTTGTTTCATAAGTTCCGCTTTATTGTGGATGCCGTGGTAGCCATGAGTACAGCCCGTAACAAAGTTATGTCACAACGGGTGGCGTTCCCAGGCTCCACTCCCCAGCCGGAGAACAGACCAGGGTCCAAGCCCACTGGAAAGAGCTGGGTGACATCAGCAGAAGTTGTCTGCCCTTGGCTGCACATTAGAATCATTGGTAACTTTTAAAAAATGCCACCGCACAGGGAATACCCCCAGGGATTCTGATTTAATTGGTCTGGGTACAGCCTGGGCATCAGAATTTTTAAAATCTCCCCAGACGAATCTAATGTGCATCCAAGTTGAATAACACTGTGGAAATGCAGAGCTTCTCAAAAAAGACAAAAACTTCAGTGTGCTACCACTGGTTCTCCCGGTTTTATCTGTGTTGGGGCCATCTGTTAAAGGAAGTTTATAAAGGTAAGGACAGTGTCTTAGCAACAGCATGAAGTAGATGAGCCAATGGTTGTCTGTCCCCACATTCTGCAAGCGGCCAGAGTGTGTTGCTTTGGAAGTACTGAGGGAAGAGCATCTCCCTCCCTCCTACAGGCTCCTATTCACCCATACCTGTGTGAACCTGGGGCTTTAGGCAAGCAAGCCCGTGCTATGGGCTGCTTTTCTTTGGTGCCCATCAAGTGACCACATGCTCGACCAGTTTGTAGGAAACGGATATACACAACAACAACATCATTAACGGCAAGCGTGACTCTCATGTATAAGAGTGTGCACCTCCTACCATCATATCCTTTGGGGGATATATCCCTGGTTTGCACCTTGGGAGCTATGGCCCGCTTGCCATAAGTATGGCTGTCGTAACTGTTGTATTCAAAGGAAGTCTTGGAATATTTCTCCAGCTCTTTGGCCAGGTTGGAGCGAGGTGTGGTCGTAGGGACGTTGTTTCTGTAGCCGTAGTGAGGGATCTCGAGCTGCTTTACAAAGCACATTGGCCTGGAAGCAAACAAGAAACAGTTGACAGCTTGCTGTCTTGTAGCTGTGGATAACATATGGTTCATGTTAATATTAGAGCATTTTGTTCCTTAACTGCATTATGGAGTCTGAACATTGCACTAAAATCACAATTCTATTTTCCCGAGAAAAGACCAAGTGTTCTGTAATTATATAGCATCAAATAAGCTATCTACCTAAATGTCAACTTTGGCAATAAAAAGGACAAAAATATTTAACTTTTTTCCCTTTTTTCTTTTCTTTTTCAGAGTTTTGGTAAGCTTGATGAAGAATGAGATATGAGGATGGGAAAGACTCTCACTCCCATGCACTTTCTTTTGCAGTGGTTTCAAAGAGTAAGAATTACATACAATGAAGTGAGCTAATAAAATATTTCCCTTAAAAATATAAGAGGAAATGAAACAAATCCTCCTGGGGACATAGACTGAGATGAAACTAGATAAAAATTTATCTATCTGGACAATAAAATGGAACATGGAATAACGTATTTTGACAAATATTAGCATATACTTTTAATATTTATACCTAGTAGGCATTCATTTTTCTAGACTTTGGAATAAAATATTTAAATGGAGGCACACAATTATTATTCATTCATTAATATTTTATCTTGTTTTGTGTGTGTATGTGTGTGTCCATCTATTTATCTATCTCATCGGTAGAATTTTTAAACTTTTTTTGGAAATAATTTTAGACTTACAGAAAAGCTGTGCAGAGGGTTTCCTTAAACCTTCACCGACTTCCTTCTTGTGAACATCTTTATTGACCAAATCTCTCACACATTTCTTTTGATTTCATTAATTTAGCCTATTTACTTCTTGTCAGATGGACAAAGTAATGTAACAATTAGTTAAATGTCTATTATTTGAGGCATTTTACCATAGGGAGGGTGAATGAATAAATAACACCCTTGGCCTTGCCTTCAAAGATCATGTCAAATGTGATAATATTTTAAGAGTCCAAGTGCGATGAGAATTCTGGGGAAGAGAGATCACTTCTGGCTATGAGATTCAGTTCAGTTTTAATGGAGAGGGTAGAGTTCTAAGTAGGCTTTGTAGAGTGGGTAAAATTGTTAAGGTTAAGATCCAGAGTGGGGTGGGAAAGCATTCCAGGAAAAGAAACTACAAAGTCGAAAGCTGAGGAGCAGGGAAGTGAGGAGCATCCTTGGGGAACAGCAGGAGATCTGGGGGCTTGGGACCAGATTGGGAATCTGTTCGTTTGCCTAGTAGGCAAGGCCAAAGAGTTTGGGCCGGGGCAGGCATATTCCCTGAGCCTTCAAAAGACTAGGACCAGCTCAGAAGGAGGGAGGACTGGAGCAGAGGCATCAGGAAGAAGGCAAGGCCTGATGACAAGATGGATGTCGTGATGAGGTCTGCGAGCCAGGGCGCGGCAAAGGAGATGAAAACTTTGGACAGGACTGGAAGCACTTACTTAAGTCTTAGGTTCCTGTTGGACAATCTACTTAAAGACTTAAAATCTTAATTAGCTAAATGATTGTAGGTTTAAACTATTTTTCTCTTTCCTTCTTTCCTCTCTCTTTCCTTTCCCTGCTGAATGAGCATCCTCTGCATGGAGACACCATGGGGATTACAAAGGTGCCCCAGCGGAGACCAGGGCCTTCAGACCTTGCTCATAACTGGGACTTCAGTGCCCGAGGTGTGTGGTTGGGATCTGGACAGCACGAAGAGCCCTGCAGGAGAGGCCAATGCACCAGCTGGAGTTCAAGCTCCTCCTTAGAGAGCCAGAAGTCCACACGACCTGGGCTGGCCCTGTCCCACCCTACCTCCACACACCAACCCAGACATAGGTAAAGAAAATTGTTTGTAGATGCACAATTATTGGCCCATAGTCTTCTGTTTTGTTGTCATTTGATGTGGTTTTCCATTGTATCCACCCAGAGAAAGGGATCCTAGGCTATGAAGCCACAGGAGCAACGTAAAAGGCTTTTGTTTTAGGCTCCATATCAGAATGGAGGCTTGTGTCTGAACAGGGTGATGTTTGCAATTATGGATGTTATCTTGTCCATCTCAGCTCCAACGGGGCTTTTCCCTGGAATGCACGCTCTGTACTGACCGGAGGAAATGGAGCACCGTTACCCTGGTGGCTTTTCAAGGAGTGGGCAGGCCCTGGGATCTTTCTAGCTCTCTGGGGGTCTGGCTAAAGTAGGCAAGGGAAATTAACAGAAGGCTTCAGCCTCAATTCCTCTCTAACTTTCCTCAAAATCTCCTTTGGTTAATAATCATCCTTTCACAAATGTACATAGCCCGAGGGGTTTTTAGGGAGAGTTCTCATGCTGTCAATAACTAACAGAGGGCTGCGGGAGGACCCTCAGGGAAGTCCTGTCATTACTTGGTGTCAGTCCTGTCTTCTGTGAGATGAATGAGTTACAGGCCCATTGGGGGCGTGTTAGACTGTTAACAGCCATTCACAGAAAAATCTAGAAGAATGCACACCAAACTTTAGTGAGGGTTTATCTCTGAATGGTAGGATCATAGATGGTTTTTATTTTCTTATTTTTGTCTATTTAAATATTTCTCATTTTCTATAAAGATTTCAATTTTTCTATTGAGGGATAAAAGGGAGTTTAATGACTGTGGTAAAATCCTTTCGGAAACCTGTGAAATAATATACAACAAAACCAAAGAGGTATTCATATTGTCTGCCTAGTGATTTTTTCCAAGTGATTTATCCCAAAGAAATAATTTAACAGAAGCAAAATTGTATGTGTGTTCTTATTCCTCTCTCTTCAATAGTAGAAGTTGGAATCAACCTAGTTCCCAGTAGAACATATGTTGCAATTAAGATGACAATTATGATTCCTATGTAGACATGGAAGCATGTTTCCGTATGATGTTGACAGAAAGGCAGAAGATAGATGATCGTCACTGTTGTCACATGGAGGAGGGTTGGAAGGGGACGTGCAGAAATGAAAGTTGATGTGAGGGCTGTGGAAATGTGGGTTTCTTCCTCCACTGCCTCTCCCAATAATCATTCTTGGCTATACTTAAAAAAACAGTGGGCTGAACCAGACAGACGATATTTGAGGTCTTTCCCATTCTAACATTCAGTGATTAAGTGGTTTCAGGTAAATCCTTTAACCTCTCTGCACTCTGGTCTTCTCGCTTGTCAAGTGGGGGTAATTGCACCTCCTCCCGCCTGCCTCTCAGGGCGGCTGAGGATCAAAGGACAGCAGCTTTGGTGCTTTCACACGGGAGCCTCCCTGTCCATGCACGGTGGTGCTCCCACCACCCTGACACTTTCAGAAACATTAACACCATCCTGTGGGGTGGTGTTATGCTCTCTCTTCCAAATGAAGATAAAATTACTTTGGGCAACTCATTAATTTTTAAAGCTTACTTTTCATCTGGCATTCATAGAATCACGAAATATCAGAGCCAGAAAGAGAACCAGAAACAATTTCATCCACTTCTCTCATTAAAAACTTACAATGGGTCAATGAAAACCCGGGGAGGCGAAGGGACCTCCTGCCCTCACACAGCCCCCAGGACGGAGTGAGGGGTGGGCTCAGGTCTTGGCTCCCAGGACGGGGATCATCTTTGAACTGTACCAGCATTACCTTCATTGCTGTCACTAAGCATGACCATCCACCACACCCAGAGTCTTGAGCGCCTGGGTGTGCTGGGCCTGGCTCTACATGGATCTCATGAAATGACACACTCCATGTTCTGTACCTTAGCACTCGGTCTGAGGCCTGGTTGGACTTGGACACATCACAGCTCTGGTGTTTCTCTTGGGCCTTTGCCAATTTCTCTGCTGCAGCAATAGGGCATCCAGAGAGGCTAGAATTACAGAAAGGGAATTTAATTGTCTCCTCAACTGGCTTCACAGAACACTGACCCAATCCTCCTCTCCCCTCCTTTCCCTTTGTCAGCACAAAGAGACTGTGAAACAGGTTCCCAAACCTGTCGTGGGCTTTCCTGGTGGGATGAATGGGGAGAGGGAGAAATAACCATGTTTGCAGCTTGCATGTTTTCCTCTTGGTCTCCAGTAGACATGGCTGATGGCCATGCCATGTATAAAGTACACTTGATCCTTTCCCACGAGAGCAAGACAAATTCTGTGACATTCAAGAGATCGTGAGCTAGTTAAAATTTTAGACACAGATTCCATTCTGGGAGGTTCACTGTTTCTGGAGATGAGGAATTAACTACTTGGGCAGGGCGAGTTTCTAAAAAGCCCAAGAAAAGAGAGCTCTCTGGTTGGCACCAGAAGATGGAGCTCTAAGCTGATCCCCCGAGCACTGCTGACGGTGGTGCTTTGGCTTGTGTCTGGGCAGCTTGTTTGCCTCCTCCCCAGGAAGAGAAAGGGAAGTGGAAGAGAAAGCAAAAGAACCTCTGGGGGTCCCCTACAATGTTTTTTGCAACTACATATTTATGGAAGAGACAACAGATTGGTTCTTTTGTTTGAGCTTATTTTTCATGAAATCCCGGTGTCTGCTCTTTGTCTATCAGTATGTATATCTGCACATAAGTGCAGATGCTTACTCCATGTAGTGTAACGTCTCAAAAATATACGATTGTGTCAAGACTTGGGGAAGGAGCTGAGCCTGTAAACGCTGTATCGAAGAGTCCTCAGCATGAGCTTTCCCGATCAATTGATCGTTTCCTCCTTCTGCAGATGAAGCCCAGCAAGATCTCTGACAGGCACTGGGTTGTGATTTGTTTCATTATAAATTTGACACAAGTAACCAAATTTACCAGTCAGACAAGCAAAAATTAAAGTTAGACTCATAACAGTTTCCTCCATTTAGATATAATTTTACATGAGCTTATGAAGCTCAAACTATAGGCTATAAGACAATTCTTAACAGAATCACTTTGCCACTACTGAAAAAAAATATCTGATATAAGAAACTTAGTAAAAGTCAGAATATGACAGAAAAAGAGAATTGGAATTTGAAAGTGTGATTCTGAGCATGCTTATTTACAGCAATATTCCAGGAGAAGTCTATTTGCCTGGCACATTGTCATGCCAAATCTTCCCCAAGCAGCGCTCTTGGACATCCGCTAGTATTCTGATGATGCCCACACTGGTGACGGGGGCTTTCAGCAGAGTGTCAAGGGGGCAGCAGAGTTAAGTCATACACTATACAGTCTCACTATATTCTAATTCCGTCCTGTACGAGGCTCACAGGACAGCTCCTCTTCACCCCTCAGGGATAATGGAGCCTTTACTGCATTCCTTCTAGTCATTGCAAATGATCATGGTTCCATCTTTAGAGATTACCCCAAGGACGGCACCTTCCATGGGACTGTTACCCCATCATGACAAGTGGGTGAGACAGCTAAAAAAATTCAACCTGCGAAAAAGGGGTTTAAGCATCTGACTTTCCCATGCTCTATGCGACAGCACTCTCCATTCTCTGAAAGCCATGGCCTGAGGGCCTCTGTCTCCTGGGGCAGGATGGAGGTGTGTGCAGGGGCGTGCACTCCCTCTTGAGGTTGTAGGAACATGGCTGTCAGGGAACTGCCTTCCCTGCAGCGCAGAACGCAGGAGCACTTTGCTTACCTTCTGTGCGAGTTCCTGTTGCTATTTACATGCCCTCGCCCTGTGCAGCCTGGAGTAGGACACTTGAGAACATTTTCATGCATGGCAAGAACTTGACAAGGAGAGGCAGAGAAAACAGCCCAGCATTAAAACATAGAAATGGTCTGAATACAAGAATATGCAATCATTTTAACAGAGGCTGTGTTAGTTTACAACAGACAGTCCTACAAACATTTGTGATGGGCATGGTCAGGGAAACACAGGTAGGAAGAAAAAGGAGGTTGTCTCAACCTTACTCTAATTGGCATGCAAAGCAGGGTGCGTGGACGGGGAGCCGTGGAGGTTGGAGCACATGATAACTGAACTGTTCCGGATGGGATAGGAAAGCAAAGGCCCCCGGTAGGTCTCCCATACATAAGCACTGAGGGTTGATTAGCCATGTAACAGCACGTAGAGGAGTAATTCTTAAAACATGCCTATGCTTTGGAAACACACAGTATTATGAAGGTGTAGTGGTCATGGGTGAAGAGAGAACCCCAAACCTTATTTTTAAATAAAATGAATTGAATAATGACTTTTCATCTAGGAATTAAGTACTTTATTATTCTTCAAATGGAATGAGCTAGAATGGTAAGTGCTACGCAGTTCACCTGTGAAAGTAACAAGTGGGAGACATCACGACATGGTCTTCAAGGTGAAGGAAGCTCCCTGCTGCTGTCAGGAGACAGCCATTAAATTTACCCCGTGGTGGTGATGGACCGTCGGCATACCCTCTCTTTCCTGGTCCTCAGTGAACACGCCACTGCTCTGGACTGTGGGGGAAGGCTAGTGGGGATGAGAAGTGCTGGTGGAAAGTCAAGAGAATTGACCCCAACACTGACCCCAGCACAACTGACCATACACCTGAGACCCGGGGACTGTTGGAGCTTTCCCTGCCAGTGAGGTTTCCCTAATGCCAGATGAACACGGAAGACCATGAAAACTGTATTTTCTATAATTCTGCTCCTTCTCTGGAACAATCTCTCTTTTCCCTACAATCCACATGCTACCTCCACATGGTGTCACTATTACTTGAGTCCACATCTCAGTTCCTCACTCCTGGTCGGTTCCTTAGAAACCAAGTCCAGTTTGGTTTCATCTTGACAGCTCTCACAGCTCCTGCCTCGTCCTTACACACGGTCGATGCTCCATAAATGGCAGTCAAACAACGGAGAGTCGACTTTCGCCTCATTCTGTGTTGACAACTGGCTGGAGTGGGCTTTCAGGAGGTCTTCCCTTCCCCTCTCTGGGGAGTCTAGGCACAGCTCCCTGCATCTTTGCTCTCCTGTCTCAGAGGAGGGAGTGCCCCCCACTATCCCGGCCAAGTGAGCTCTTCAGGCTGCTCTCTCACCTGTCATCTTCCCTTTCTATCAGGGTCTTGAGTTACCTACGTCATTCATTCTTTATTCTTTACTATTTTCCTATCATCCTTTTATAACATCACACAAACCCTTCCCGTGATACAGCTTCCCTCTCAAATTAATATACATCTTTCCTCTCCTTTTATGCTAAACTTTTCAAATATAAAATCTTCCCTGGAGAAAGCAAACACTTTCCATGCTTGTCTATGGTATAGATCTCAAATTGGGCTTTCCTCTCTCTCTTGCTAAGTGGAGACAAGGAATCCTTCCTAACCATCGTCAGCTGGGACCCACACTTGAGATGGAATCTTTTGGACATCCTTTGTCTACACTCTATTTCCTCAACCCCATGCATATTTCTTAAACTTCTGCAGCATGTATGGCTCCTATTCTTAGTTCTCACGTCTTTCTCCTAGTTGTCAACAGCAGGCTTTTGTTCAATAGACTCAATGACCTCTTTTCTCCCTTCTCTTAGACTTCTTTGTCCAAGATTACCTTGGACTTCTTTCTCAGGCATCCCCTTCATATGTGGGACCTTTGCAGAAATACCATCCTCTCCTTGGTCCCTCTGACTTCTCTCCACCTGCCTCTCTTCATCTTTCTACACACTGACCTCCAAACCTCCCATTTTTGGCTCCTGTTCATTCTTGCTTTATGCCTCCTCTCTGGCCAATTTCATTCTCAGATTCTACTAACACTGCTCAGAGGACAGATCCAGATAGCCACCTGTGCATCTGACCTTCTCCAGCTCTTCAGATCCCTCCTCCCAACAGCCTGCTGGGACTATCATACAGCACTTCCAATTAAATTGGAAAAATCCAAGTCATGGTTCCCTGATTAGATGTGGCCCTATTTCTCAATCCACTACATCTATTATTGGCATCATCCTCCTTACCACTGACCAGGGCAAAAGTCCTTGGCGTCATCTCAATCTCCCTCCCTTTCTTCTCTGTATCATCTATAATGGTCTTCAACTCCTGCCAGCCTGTGTTTGGAATGTTTCTTGAATCTGGCCCAGGTTTTCCCTTCCCACCACCACTGCCTCCTTCACGCCGTGATTTCTCACGTGGACTAGTATGGCAGCTTCTCTCTCACATGGGACCAGCTAAAATGTGACCTAAGTGAAGCCTATAGGTCCCCAGGGAAGTCACCATCCCTGTTGTCTCAGAAATGTGTTCACAGCATGCTGTTGAAACACCATCACGTGAGGGTTGCTTTCTGTCCTGTGTGCATGCCCCCTTCTCAGCTAGGTTGGGAGCACTTGGAGGCCCAGCACTGTGTCTCATTCAGTGTGTGTCCTGTGTTTCAACACTGTATTGCAAACTGGGGGTGCAGACTACTTTATTAATTTCAACTGAACAGAAATGATGATTAGGAGAGCTAGCCCAGAAAAAACTAAAAAAAAAAAAAAAAAAAAGACATGCCCTCTGTGGAGTCTAATTTTTTTTTACATTTTTATGGTATTATAAAGAATTATACATGAGTAAATATTTAGAAAGGATTTTCTACAGATGCTCTGGAAGGCCTTTGTAAGAGTGTTGTCAGAGCCGAGCTCCCACTTCCTCACGGGTGAAGGTGAGAACAGGTGTGATCTGACCTGTGGTTTGTATAAGCACTGACAACACATAGCTTGTCAGAACACGGTCTTATTTTTGCTACATTTAGACTTTTTCTGTGAAAATATGCAGTCAGGAGGATTTCTCAGCCATGAAAAGGATCTGATACTCTACTTTGAAGGTGAAAACATATGCCTTAAAGAAAAATTGCATAAAGCAGCTCTTTTTTCCTAAGACATTAGTGCTCGGTGCTAATGCCTCATTTTGTAGATGAGGAAAATGCAGTACAGAGTGTGTGACATGCCCCTTGTCACACAACTTGTTAGGGCCAAGACTGGAATACCAAACCCAGGTCTCAGCAGAAACAGGTTTGGGATTCCAACAGATGTGGATTTAGATCTTAGCTCAGCTATCTGTCTAGACAAGTTAGTACCTGCTCAGATTAGTTTAAAAAATATTGAGTGTCTTCAATATGCCAGGCACTGTGCCAATCCCTGGAAAGAGAAGGATGATGGCATCTGCTTCTCATTTTCCTCATGTAAATAACAGGGCGATACCACCCTGCAGGGCTTACTGGGGATTAAAGGAGTCAGTGTTTTCTGAGTGTACACTGAGCACCCAACATGGCGAGTGTGTTCAGAAATGAAAGCTGTGGCAGTTAAACCATGCTGTCTCCCTGCTCATGTAACACACGGGGGAAGAGCCACTCACTCGAATCTGTCTATTTTCACAACTCTCCAAGTCTGTTCACCGGACAGTTACAAGAAACGTGGGTTTACTATTTTTCAGTAGCCACTTGAAAACCTGGAACCACAATAGCTCCTGAAAATATTTCACCTGAAAATGTTCAGCTAAACCTGTTTTCTAAGCTTCAACTACTATTATGAACTTTTCCTTGTTTTGACAGATTTGCTTCCCAGGTATTCCAAAGTTAGCCGTTTTAATGGAACTATCCTTAAAAGTTCCTCTAAACAATCCACTGGTCATCTTGTCGTATCTCAAGCCAAACTGTGACCTCTTCCCCACTAGAAACCGTGTCTTAGATAATGAGGGCGATCCTTAACACATCTCAGACTCAAAGTCAGGATCTTAACCTCACAGAGTCATTTCTGAAAATATGCCTTTTTCCTGAGCAATCAATTCTAATGGTATTTAAATAGCTGGCACACTTGATGTGCTGAGAGAAAGATAAACAAAAAAAGGTGTACATCATTTCAGTTCTTAAAGAAATTTAGTTGTTTTCATAGATTCATTGCATAGTCTCAGAACATAACTAGTTTAAAAGAATGTATAAGATCAAAACCCACTGACTTAAATCTCTTTATTTAAGATTTTATTGCGTAGAAATGTTGGGACAACTATGATATAAAACAGACTTTACAAGTAAAATGTAATAAAATATAAATATAATATTGATTCACAAATATATTGCAGTTCAGATAATTGGGAAAAAACAGCTCAAGGTCCTTTTTCTCAGGGATTCCTAGCAGTTTAGTGCTTGAAAGGAAATTTTAGAGGCTATCTAAATTCCATTCTATACTTTGTGAGGACAGAAGGAGAGGAGTGATGTGCCTGAGGTCACAGAGCAAGTCAGAGATGAAACAAGGGCTAGAGCCCAGGCCTGCCCGCTCGGGGCCATGCTGCGAGAAGAAATACTGCACGGTGTGCTACTGTTCTAGGGCGGATCTAGCAGGAATGATATCAAGAAAACACTGCACGCTGGAGGAGAGGCCTTGATGGGCCCGTGAATGCTGAGTGAGTTACCCATCAGGACAAGAAGGGGCTGGTTAAATAAGGTTTCACTTGAGCCATAGATGGAAATGACAAAGGCAAGAGGGATGAAGTAAACAGAGTCACAGGCGTGTGTGCTCCCAAGGGGATTGGAGAAACACAGACTTACTTTCTGGAGGGACCCTATCTTTGTGCGGGCATCCGGACAGACTGCGGTGATGCGGATAAAGCCCCGTTACGTGGCCAGTTCCATCGCACCCCGGGGTTGGACACTTGCTCTCTTTCTTTTCTGCTCTCGAGGGATCTAAAAGCGACAACAGGTGTCAAGAGAATGAATTTTTTACCCATTGAAGACAAACGTGATTATTTAACAATCTGAAGAGACCTTGATAAATAAAGAAATAAAGCAGGTGTCAGGGGGACAGGCTGTGGCATCAGACTTTTACATAGGTAGTACTCTGATTTTGGGTGAATTTTTGACCTTAAACAGTATAATCATGAACTGTAAAATATTTTACTTTCTATACTAAAGAAAAAAAGGCCTATCCCAACCTTAACTCTTGATTGTTTTCCCGTGTGTTACATGATAAGCTGTGTTGCTCAAAGAAATCAACATAAATAATGATGAGACAGTGACCTTCTCAGAGAACAAAACTTTACCATGATCCTTCTGCAATCGCTGTGTGAAATTCAACCAGGGAACATAATGCCATTCAAATACTCTTTAACGGAATTTCTTTTGTATTGAGTGCTCTGATCGTATACAGTATAAGCTGCAAAATTTTACTGGTGTTGAAAGTTATTCTCTTGCAACACTGTTCCTTAGCATTCCAATTCAGTACTTCTCTGAAAATCAGCTGAACTCTCAGAAGGCACTGTAAGCAGATGACCAAAGTGGGGGAGATCCCACCTGACAGAGGTGATGTGCAATCAAAAATGTGTCAGAAGCTGCTGAAGCAACCATTTGTTTTGATTTCTTCATCTGTACTTGGAACCAGAGGAAGGCTCGTTAATGCTGTGCATGCATACACAAAATTAAGAGGAGATGGTTTCATACAGCCCTGCCCGCTCTCTGCAATACCAGTCAAGGGAGCAACAGAGCAGACATTCGGTCAAAACTTGAATGTCAGATGCCAGAAATGAATGATATTGCTAATAAAATTATTTCTATGTCCAGAATTGACCACAGTTCATACACGTGCAGAAAATAACTCCAGAAAATATTTCTAAGATAAAGCTCAGACCAATTAGTAATACAAGTGTGCGAAACACTATTTTTGAGCCAGTTTTTGAAAACCAGTTGCACCGATTATCAATAATAGTGACTACTCTGATTTGGTCCAGGGAATGCTATCGTTAAAATTTCTGCAGGGGTTTAATATTTTTATATTGATATCTCATTAATCAGGCCAATCATGGTTGCTAGAAAATATAAATTTTACTTTTGGTTAAGAATTTATTTTATATCAAGAAAAAGCTTGGTTTAAAATTTTTTTTTAACTCTTATGGACTTTCTTCTTAAGTCATTCATGTGAACTTGAAATAGACAAGGGACACACAGGAATATAGAAACACTTTTATGTTTATAGAAAAAGCCCCTTCTTCTTTTTTTTAGTTAGCATTTTATTCTACATAATGTCTTTCAGGACCTGTAATCTCCTAAACCAGTGCTGGTGTTGAGGGAAATATCTAGATACAACTGTCAGCTACTTCCTACCATTATTTATAGACACTAATGTCTGAAAACAACTCTAAAACTGTATTGTTGTGATTTCAATTTCTAAATATCTTATTGGAGCTTCTCTTACACATGCAAACTAAAAGACTAGCATTTTATTCTCTTTTGAGTAATTTCATAATAATATTGGTACAATTTAATTAACATAAATATAAAATAGTAAGTGCACCGTAACAGTTTTAAAGGAAAATATTATTTAAAATCAAAACTAGAGATATAGTTTAAAATCATAAGCTAGATATAAATGAATTTTAAAGGACAAAAAAGTAAATTATTATTAATCATTAAATGACTCTTTTTCATCAGGACACTTACAATTCCCTAACAAATTATATTATTTCACAGATTTTGAAAATGTTCTGAAGTTAAGTATAGATTTACATGAAAACAAAGTGGCTCAAACTCTCAGTTTTTGGAAGACAACAAGGGCATAGTCTCCTCTCGATGCATGAATCCTGGTGGAGGTGGGACGCTGTTTGCCTTCACCATTACCTCCCTTGCTTTCCTAGTTCTGGAAATCCCAACTCATCCTGAAAGCAAACATTCAAGAAAACACAAAACAACCAAGCAAACAGACCAACAAGTCAACAGAAAACCTTGCAACAATGTCTATAAAAATAATTGTGCCCTAGGTTTAGCCTGCTTGTTTACTCCCTTTGGAGTAGATTCTTGAGAAGAAGAAAGATAGAGGAGATTCGCGATAAATTTTGCTTTAGCTTATGATTTTGGAAAGGTTACTCATTAATAATTTGAATCATTTTGAGAAGATTGTGTACAACTGAGAATTGTTAAGAGTGTTCTCTCCATCTTTAATAAAATAACAGAGAAGCTGAAAATAGAGACTGTTGATCCACTATGTGATTGTAGGAACTGTCCATTGGCCACATTGGTAAGATACCACATAATTTTTTTTAATAAGGAGGGCATTAATCTCTTTACCCTACTTTGGTGTCCCTGCTTGGCTTTATTTATTTGGTTCTTCAAAAGAAACTTGGGAACGATGTGGAACACGTTGATAAGAAACAGAAATGAGCTTTGATCAGAGGAAGAAGATGTGGAAAAACTGGGAAGAGGTAGAAATGAATGCTTTCCAACTCATTTGGAAAGTCCAAATCCCCAACCCTTTCCCTATTTCAGGGAAAAAGCACATCTCAGTTTTTACTGTTCATTCCCAACCTTGGCCCCATTTATTTAGGGGAAACAAGTGGTTTGAATTCCATTTCTTGCAAAAAACAAAATAAAACAAAACAACAATAACAAAACAAAATGAGTCAAAATTTACAGAAAGCCGCTGGGTGTAAAGGAACCACAGAAACCAAAGAAGGCAACAAAGAATCTGCAATGCAGAATGAGCCGAAGGTTTCCGCAGTAGATCGCTGCATTTCTCAATGCCAAGACTCCAGCACGAAATCCACTCTACAGAATTCTGAAAAATACGCCTAACGTGTATTTGTCCAACTGAGCAATCCTATGAGAAACGACACTGTTGCTTCCTAAAAATATTTAGTTCCTACATGATTCTCAAATATCCAACTAAAAATCCCTGACAGATTGCACTATAGTTATAAACACGTATGCCACATTTCATAGTCTTCACAGCACGCCCGATGCTCCCTTGAGCTGGAGTCCTCTGCCTTGAAGAAGCAGCCCCTTCCTCACACGCGCACCTCACGAGAGTCTAGCCTGCACCTGTATCACCGAAACGACGGTCAGCGCTCAACACTTGCCAAATCAAGGACAAAGGGCTTCTGGCTAAGGCTCGTCTCCAATTGAGATTTGGTCATTGTGGTGCCCAACTCACCGTGAGAGTTATGTGCACACATTGAGAGGAGAATACACACCTATGTCACAACAGAAAAAATAGTTCTTCTGATCTTTTGAAGTTTATACAGCAACTGATTTTCAAACCAAATTCCTGGACCTCATTACCAGATCCGCAGTGAGGAAACTCAGTATTCATAAGGAATAGATTAACATGCAAAACAGAAAATCTTTTTCGATACTAATATGGAGGGATTTAAGAAATCATCAATTTCATTCTTGAAATTGCTTCTTACTTAGTTTTAAGAGTCTTGTAATTGAGATATCCGCAATGGCAAGGTTCTACATGAGGTTAAGTTATAACCAGCCTCATAGGGAAAGTGGACATGGTTTTTACTGCAAACATGAAGCCTATCATTCAGGTTGGAAATATATATACACATATTAGATACATTGACTACATATGTATGTGATTGAATATATAGATATATGCAAATGTGTGCCCACATATTTCATAAATGAAAATCTGGTTAAAACTATCATATTGGATGGTTTTGAGTATTTTATAATAAAGTAAGCACCATAACTGCTCCACAATGGAATGGAATCAGCGAGGGGGAATGAATATACTAAAGAAATTACTATTGATCTCTGCCTCGGACATAGCGTGCCTTGCATATCAAATGGCTCCCATCACTTCCTGTCTTAAGATAATTAATGCACAGTCACTGCCCTTGTCTTATGTTATTGGTCATTCCATTACTTTTCAATTTCTATCAGGGATGTTTTCTGTTGGGGAGGTTTCATCAATAACTGTCATTTGATGATAATTGTATAAAATCATGATGCCACCTACACATTCCAATTTATAAAATACGTGTTTCATCCCTGATTGACTAATTGTTACATACCCCCTTGCCCTCCACAAAGATTGTGATTCATTTACAAGAATACAAGTTCATCCTAATATTATCTGTCACATGACGTGTTTGCGCTCTAAGCTTCTCTTTCCAAGGCATGCATTTTCCATTGAAATATCATATTAGTTATCTGCTCTGATAATATGACATTGAACTGCTTTGTGTATTTCTCAGACAAATATTTTATTTGCTCTTCAGAAACATAATCACAAAATATAATTCTGGAATCCACTCTAAGAAATATGCGTTAGGGATATAATTTAGTGTGATGCATACTTTAGTTGTAGACTATAATTGACATCTTTTAGTCTAGCTCACGTTTCACAAGGCAACTTACGTTAGGTAGAAATATTACCTTTACCATAGTATGGCTTTTTGACATGGCTGTCACTGGATTTAGGTTTTCTCTCCTCCCCGGGGAGTTGTCTTGGCGACTGCTCCTCGTATGACCTCATGTTGTCACGCCTCCCAGCTTCCATTGCCATCTTCTCCCTCATGGCCTTTGCTCTTTCAGTTTCCAAAGCAATGGCTTTCTCAAGAAGGGTCAAGTTTCCCTTGGTCATGTCAAACACTTCCTCGGACCTGTCCGAGTTCACGGAGGTGGTATCGTCATCTCTTTCATGATACCCATCCTCCTTTGCACAGCTGGAGAAAGTTCTCGATCTGGGACTCAACTGCTCCTCTAGCCTCATCAGGTTCATCATGTCAGAGTAGTTCCTGTCGGGCGTTCTTCCCGGGAAGTCATCCTCTTGCCGGACATGCTGGCGGATGTTCATATTTTGCTGTTGGTTCCTCTCCTGTGGGTTCGTCTCACTCAGTTTCCTGGCCAGGTCAAAGCACTGATTCCTCAAGCACTCCAAACTGCTCAGACACACCTCCTCATCGCTTTCCTCCACCATTTTTTCCATGAGTCCATTGTTCATGGGCTTCCCCAACATTACATAATTCATGTTTCTATTATCTTGCTGTGACATAGTGTCTACATAATTTCTGTCATTCATGTTTTCAGCGAGCACCACACCATGTCCTTGTGCTAATAATTTAAGGGAGTCCACCGTTTCTCTAACGACATCACTGTCTAAGTCTAGACTTAACTCGCTTTTCCGACCCAGGTTTTCATTTTTGTCGCTATCGTCTTCCAGACTATTGGAGGTATTGCTGTTCATTTCTGACTCAGTCCTGGCCCGGTATGCTGCATCCTCGGCAATCTTGCCAAGATTCAACAAGGACTTGGCCACCAGCTCGTCGTAATTGTCATACTCATCGTTATTGTTATCATCCTTTTCTGCATCCTGCATTATTCGAGTATTGTGACAATTCATTTGATGGTCTTCTGCAAAGAAAATAAAACAAGGACAAAAAAAGAAAAGAAAAGAAAAAAAATGGCTAGAACTTGAAGTTTAGTTGCAACAGTATGGATAGCACGTTAACTGTAAGTCAAACCCTGTTCATCACCTAATAGAACCTCAAGTCCCACTTGCAGCTCCGCTGACAACGTTGACATAAGGAAAATGGATTGTGCTAAAAACACAGGAGGCCATTTAAAATAGTTGCTATAAACTCTTAATTTCCTTAACTAACCTTAAAATAAACCGGTATATATTGTAAATATAATTTTAAAATATTAACTTTTTATTACTTCTAAATTTTAAGAATGTCTTATTTTCTTCATTGGCTTTATTTACAGCCCAACCAGATGGATAATAATTACATGCATCATATCAATAGGCTTTCTAAGAGTTCATGCCCTTTACTTGTTGCCAACTCTTACACAGATGCTCCTAGCAATTGCTTTTAAACTGTTTGTTTTCACAGAGATGCTCAGGCAAGACAGAAGAAAGCCTCAGGTTGTTGAGGAATCACGCAGGGACGCCGCCTACGTTGGGCCTTCAATATCAGAAGCACGTATTTGGGCTGAATTAAGAGTTGTTTTGAATTTTCTACCTCAGAGACAATTTATTGTGATTCACAGTGAAGCAACAGGAATGCCATAGTAAAAGTTTAGAACTAAATCTGATGAACTTAATTCCTATATATGTATCTCAGCAGGTTTGAGAGAGTGGGAGGGAAAAAGTATGCAGTGACCAAATGCCTATAAAAACCAGTATGGATTGTAACACATACAATGCAGCTGTAATTTGACACAGCGTCTTAACATTCATCCACCTCATAGCCTAGGGAAATTTTGGTGAGCTGGTAGAAATAATGCGTGAATAAACATCACATCCAATCTCAAAAAAGTATTTAGGAAAACTTGTTGAAAAAAAGACCACATTAAAAATTATATAAAACCCCTAGGTTTCATCTGAAATGTATCCTTTTTAACACTAAAGGAATATTTGGGCTATGCCATTTCTCTTCATAATGCTACATAATTGCTATCACATAAATTGCAAATATAGATAGTTATAAATGGATTCTCAAAGGTATTCCGCCCCACCCCCGGCCCTCAGATTGAATTTGGTTAACTGCATGCCATTTTCACATCTGTGAACCAGAGTAAGAGTTTTTAAAGTTTATTAATGAGCTGAAGAAATGAGATATATTGATTAGCAGAAAATACCTGTTGACTAAGAGCTGAGTCAGGATGCCCCCAGTGTTTTCTTTATGGATTTTGTGTTGTCCCTTCAGAAAAGGCTTTTGTTGGTGAAAAAGGTTTGGACATCAACATATCAACAGCAGGAAAGAATATCCTTGCTAGCCCATACAAAGAACCAACAAATTTTTAAAATTGAACACATCTTTTAATAAACATCAGCAAATCAAATTTGCCATATATTAGTCATAGAGCATCACTGATTGTATGAAACAAAGGTTGTCAGTCTTCGGGATAATTCCTATCAAGCAATTTCCTTAGCGCAAGGACACACATATCTCCAAAGAGCATCAAGAGAGATAAAATCAAACCAGTGAATGCCATCAGAAACTCTGTGCAAGTATTCATCTAAAATGCACACTATGCCACTGGCCTAGGGCTTAAGCCTTTAAGAATTGAAGGCAATCCTGTTTTAATGAATTTTTGAAAATATAAAAGTAATATTCTCCTCTCAATTTATGCACTTTGATGTTTACATTCATGGGCTGTGAATAGAGAAGCAGCCTCTGGATAACCAGGAACATTACCTCCACACAACATCTGGTGATTTTTGATAGCCAGCACCACTCTACCTACAAAGAACCAACCACGAGATGAATTTATAAGTTATGGTTTGAAAACAGGAAAGCACATGCTACATCTTGAAGCATTTTGAAAGTTGAGTCAAAGAAGAAACCACAGTCGGGTAAGATTTATTATTTTCATGATTTTTCTCTTAACTTTCTCTTGTGAAATGCATCCATGGCATCCTGAAGAACTTGGAAAAGGGGGAGATTAATGACAGTGGTGAACAAGAAAAGAAAACACCTGTGTCATGTCCTTGCGCCTTGTAAAACCACAACAAGGCTGCATGTGGAATTTGACAAGGCTCCACGTTTTATGAAGCTCTTCTCCTTCCTACCAGAGTTGTTATGAACATGATCTAGTTAACTCTCCACATTCTAAATCTCAGGATTCTCTTCAGTTCATTTGTCCCAGATAGGAAATGGCTTTTGCTGTTATTTCTGAGCTCCCCACATTCCCCTCTGCATCACACAGTTAAGGAATATGTCTTGCCTATTGATCATCAGAAACCTATTCATCTCCCGACTCGATTCATAAGTTACTTTCCCCAAAAGAGATTAAAACAAAGATGGACACACTTCTTCACACAGCCTCACAGCCTCAGGGGAGGGAGGCTGAGAAAAAGCTGAGAAGGGGTCCCTTTACCATCTGAAAAGTGGGAGAGCAAGGCCGCCTCCAACATACCTTCTGGCTTTGGATTGTAGTGGTGAGTACAGCAAAAGCAGACTTGCACACGGCTTTGCATTCATCTCAGAATGAAAGTGAAAGTAGAAGTCAGATAACCCGGTCTGGTCACTCCTTTGCTGCTTACTAGTTGCATGATGCTGGTGACCTAGGCCTGGCCTCCTTCAGAGACCTCCTACAGGAATTGTGTGACCAGGATGTGCTGTGTAAAGACACAGCGAAAGCACTCTGAGCAGGTGGGGGCTAGTCCCATCACGTGGTCATCGGCCTACAGAGTGGATGCTGAGGAAATCAGCCTATTTGTAGAAGAAATCTGGAACAGGCAAGGGAAATGTATTAGCCTTTGACTACACAGCCTCCTGCAAGGCTTGGCTCTCCTTCCAGGTTACCAATGTTCAGCGTCGTCTGAGGCTGTGTGACCTTTGCAGTAAATGTAGAAACGGCTGGTGAAATGGCACGAGTGGCTGAAAACCCTGGTAGGTTGATGGAATGTCTCAAGTTACCGGTATTTGACTATTTCAACACACATGTGAAATAAAGTCAACTCTCAGTCCTGTGGGCTAACGGAGGGGAACAGTCAGTCAGCCTGTCAACAAGCAGGTTCTAAATAGCTACTACGCGTTGGCTTCCTCCAGAGTTCAAAGTCACCTACAGTGAGCTTTTAGAAGTCCATCTCTGGTTTTGTGTTTTCAGGAAATTTGCCCATCTAGTTATGTTTTTGCTGAGGCTAATAATAAAACGGACCACATGTGGAAGTGGGCCATGGGAAAAGGACCAGAATTTTCCGGCCAGTCAGGGATTAACAATGTGGTACCGACTGTCCACAGACTGAATATTCCAACAACAGGAAATAAAGGAGTCGATCGGATTAGCTCTTCATGTGATCAATGTTCTATCAAATAGGGAGAATGTACTTGTGATGAAATAAAGCATTTTACCAGAAAATTATTTTAAAATACAAGCTCACATTTTAAATAAAAGAGCACAGCAATTTAGATAGAGGTTTAAAGAGACCAAAGGACCTGAGCCTTCTTTTTGTAGTTTTCTGCTCTAAGCCTGTCCTCCAGCAGAGCTGCACGGTGACAGACACGAGGAGGAGTCACTGGCTGGTGGGCGCCAGCCAGGGTTTCACTGTCGGGGCGAATTCACAGAACTTTCACGCCAAGGGGGAAATGAGAGATGACCTGGTCCAGCTACTTCCAGGTCAGGAAATTGAGCCCAGAAAGCAGAGGCAGCTTGGTGGCTAAGTCCATGTGCCCTTTTGACATTTCCATCAGCCAATTACAAACCTAATTTTTGTTGCTATTATATGCATAGTTTTGAATCTTATGTGAGCTGTATGAAAAGTTGTAGGTCTCAATTTTATTTCCTTTGAGTCATATTGTTATAGACAATTTATGCTCAACAGTTACAATTAGAAAACCAGAAGAATTTCTTAAACAAAAAAATGTAGTCAGGGAGGTTGTTTTTTCTCTATCTTCAGGGCTAGAATTTGATGTGGTTAGAACTCTGTGGATTATAACTTTATAAATACAAGCACCGGCTTTTTACTGTTCTGTCTTTAAAAAATATGTCTGAGACTCAACTTTTGTTTCCTTCAATGTCTAGTCCTGATTGTGTTCCTGTTGTTCTTTCTAGCCATTAAAATAGGCCACGGGCAAGCAAATATACAACTGATTTTTAAAAAAACATAGGAAAACAAACAGAAGAGATACTACTACTTGGAAATTACTCTAGACTTTACTAGGTTGTAGGAGACATGGTCTAAGAGTCCAAGGGTTTCCAAGTAATGAAAGGCCACCATTTCACATGGCATTAGATGGGTATATCTTTTTTGATTATAGAAATAAATGAATATCAAAATTCATTTTTGACTTGTAAATACAGAAATGTGATAACATATTAGATTCTAACAAAAAGATAATGGTGTTTTAACAGCCATTGTAACTATAGGAAAGATGAAAAAGTGGCAATTATTGCATATACCGTATCACATGAATAGTGCAGCACAGATGCTCCCGTGTTGAGTATGTGAAATTAGTGAGCACAGAATAACAGCCAACATAGTCTCCCGGCACATGGCTGTCTGTCCTCACTTCATGCCCACAATGACCCTATGAGAGAGGTGCGGGGCACCTACTATTCCCTCTTAGAGATGGCAGTACAGATCCCCAGAGACGTGAATGATTTCTCCATGTCACACTGCTGGTAAGTGACAGAGCAGGAATGCCCTTCTGGGATTCTGGGCACAGCACCGCCTCTAATCCAACAGCAACAAGACCTCCACGGCTCTCACCAACAAGGAGCCCAGAGGCTCCTTCCAGACTGGTTCCAGCTGGACCTCTAGCTCCTTGTTGATATATGAGTCCCACCTGTCTACCATGCAGAAGGTGGCGGTTGTTTTTTGCATTCATCTTGCACATTGTTTGTATGATTTGAGGATTTGGTTATAATACCAGCCATTGAAACTTGTCAAGCTGGGATTGTCA